CAATCTCCTCCTTCGTCAAACGGCCCTTGTCATTTGTAATCGTTATCTTGTTCTGCTTCCCTGTACCCTTGTCAACAGCAGATACGTTCAGAATACCGTTCGCGTCTATATCAAACGTCACCTCAATCTGGGGAGTACCACGAGGAGCAGGTGGGATACCTGAGAGTTCGAACTTGCCAAGCAGATTGTTATCCTTCGTCAGAGCACGCTCACCCTCGAACACCTGGATAAGCACACCAGGCTGGTTGTCCGAGTACGTCGTGAACGTTTGAGTCTGTTTCGTCGGGATTGTTGTATTACGCTTAATCAGAGCCGTCATTACACCACCAGCCGTTTCAAGACCCAGTGACAATGGAGCCACGTCAAGCAACAGCAAGTCTTGCACAGCCTCACACTTGTCACCACTTAGAATAGCTGCCTGCACAGCTGCACCATAAGCCACAGCTTCATCCGGATTAATAGATTTGTTCAACTCCTTCCCGTTGAAGAAGTCCTGCAACAGCTTCTGTACCTTAGGGATACGAGTGGAACCACCAACCAACACTATTTCGTGAATCTGGGCCTTATCCATCTTAGCATCTCGCAAAGCCTTCTCAACAGGACCCAATGTACCACGGAATAGATCGGCATTCAACTCCTCAAATCGTGCACGAGTAATCGACGTGTAAAAATCAATACCATCACACAACGAGTCAATCTCCAGATTCGTTTGGGTGCTCGAACTCAATGTACGTTTCGCACGTTCACATGCTGTTCTCAGGCGACGCAATGCACGCTTATTGTCACGAATGTCTTTACCAAATTTCTTCTGGAACTCTTTCACAAAGTGATCCACCAGACGATTGTCAAAATCTTCACCTCCCAAGTGTGTATCACCAGCAGTAGACTTCACCTCGAATATACCATCCTCAATTGTCAAGATGGACACATCAAATGTACCACCACCCAAATCAAATATCAACACATTACGCTCACCACCAACCTTCTTGTCTAAACCATAGGCAATTGCCGCAGCCGTCGGCTCATTAATGATTCTCAACACATTAAGACCAGCTATAGCACCTGCATCTTTCGTTGCTTGACGTTGACTGTCATTGAAGTAAGCAGGAACTGTTATAACCGCGTCACTCACTGTCCTGCCCAAATAACTTTCAGCAACCTCCTTCATTTTCGTCAACACCATCGACGAAATCTCCTCCGCGGAGAACAACTTTTTCTCACCCTTATACTCAACACGAATCTTCAGCTTACCACCGACTTGAACCACCTCAAATGGCCAATGCTTCATATCACTCTGAACTGATGGATCATCAAAACGACGACCGATTAGCCGCTTCGCATCAAACACTGTATTTGTTGGATTAATAGCCACTTGGTTCTTTGCTCCATCACCAATTAAACGCTCAGCATCTGTGAACGCCACATAACTCGGTGTCGTTCTGTTACCCTGATCATTGGCAATTATCTCCACTTTGCCATGCTGGAAAACACCAACACACGAATATGTTGTACCAAGATCGATCCCAATGGCGTTAGGCATTTCGAGATAACGTTAAAACGAATAAACACAGACAATCGAATCACTCAATTAATACCACTGCAAACTGTACGCCTGCTTAAATACTATACACGTAGAACATACTAGAAGTTTCGATGACCTTCGATAGAAAACAATCGACCAATGACCTGTCGACAAGTATTCACTATTGGCCAATCACACTCAACCACCAGACTACTGACCAAATACTCACAAACTAGATGCTTTCCTAGTCAAAATTTGACTCATAGCCTCCCTAAGTACATTGCAATGCATGGTGCATAATACAAACGCAATTGTCTGGCCAGTGTGGACAAATGGACAAAATCTAAGACGTGCACCCATCCCATTCAACCATTCACAACCTCAAACACAAAAAAACATTCCAATACCGAGTTTGACTACTGACACAATTATAAGTAGTTGAACTAACACGTGTGATATTTAGGGGTCGGGTATAGTTCAGTTCATACTGGTTAGTCACCGAGCTGTAACTATGCCTGGCTGTACATCATTATGTCATGTTTGCCTACTTCTTAATGCTGATCCAATTCCATCTGAACAGTTGCAATGTGGCTACTTGTTCGAGTGTTCGATAGAATTCGATCATCATTCAGAATTAGACAAACATGGGATCGGTTACCACTCTGTGATGAACCAGTGTAAATGTTTCAGTCCTACAAGAGGTCGGTCACATGACCGTTGTGGTTGACTGAATTATCGTTGATTGTTGAAGTGACTAGATAGACTATTGTAAGAAGTCAAAAGACTGATCGACAGATGAAGAATTGTTTCATAACCATACCTCGTGCTGAGAATCCTATGTTGTACCAAAATATAATATTGAATAATAACGACAATAATAGTAATAATAATAATTATTATTATTATTATTACTATTATTAAGAACTGGATTAACACAACATGTCAATACATTTATTTTCAGGTCGACTCACTTTATGATAATCAACAGATAGAATTCCAATAAACCACAACTCAGTCTCCTCACAACTAATTAGTCAATAGAATGTCAGGAGGAGAAACTCTACTGGCATCGTAAGGATAAAGATGTTGCAATGAACAAAAGTAATCGGTGTGATAAATCATATGCTTGAATCAAACATAACAGTCGGTAGAAGCCCGAATTGCTCCATGCTAGCACCTCTGACTATGACACTGATTGACGTGGGTTCGAAGTCCACACAGGACGTCCATTTCTCCCAAGATTCCAGGCACACCTTAATGACGAGTGCCAGCGAGCACGAAACCTGGGTCTACAGCTTCTTGTCGATTACCTCCGACCAACTAACATGGTACAATTCGGTCACTAACATCAGATAAAATCACGATGAAAACCCACTCCAATATAAATATCTTATCCCATGCAACAAGTCAAGGAAAACAACGAAAATGAATGATACACTCTAGGAAATGTTATGAAAACTTTCAGGTTTAAACTATCATGACGTATATAAGTAGCTTGAGACAATGCTTAGGTCGTGCCACTCATTCATTGGCTAACTAGTTAGGACAGATAGTGAGGTTCAAAATTATTCTACAAAGGACACTCACAAGTCCAGTGATGTCAGGTTGTGCTCGCACTTTTTACTGACTCACACAATTTCCCAATTACTTAGTATACACCTTGATATGCTCACTCGCAATTCTAAAACTGAAGTCACATAATTCTCAGTTGTAAATCGTTGCTGACGAAACTGACGAAGTGCACACATTTAACTATCATGATGACTTTGAATAAAGCCAGAACTATAAGGCCTACAGGACACAGTCAACCAAATTCACCCTACCACTTCTTCTCATCCACTAATAATCCCGTACCCTAGTTACTTTTATCAATATATTTCAACTCCCACTCACTACTCTCTTTCTTTACACCACCACAACGAAATTAGCAATGTTTCCAAAACAATGTTTCACACCATTCTTTCTGAATTGATCAAACAATAATGGTTTGGTGGCTTATTTATTTATTTGAACACATAATATTGGTACAACAGTGCGCTAAATATATATTCGCCACACAAAACATTGAGAATTTAAAGAGAAGGGAAAAAAAGGTAAGGAGCGTAAAAAACAGGAGAATAATAACGAAGAGATTGGTGTAAGGTAGTGTAATAACAATAACAGTAATAATAATAATAGTAATAATTGGGGAACGGAAAGGTACAATCAGAAGAAATCTTTCAGTCTAGGAAGATACAACTACTTTTTTACGAAGAAAGTAAAGCAAGGTTACAGCAGGATCGCCACTGACTTCTATTCTAAGCCATATCTGATAACGTCTCTAGCCACTGTGTTGCACCACGTCTCGGACCCCAACCAGGGAGTCGTGAAGGACCAACACAAGCCAACCCTTTGCAGCTTCCTTTCATACCACCACACCATGTCATACACTGACCACCTCTCCGCTTTTTCCAACCAGTCCCAGAGTCGGCAAATAATGCACGACGTGGAATTCTCTAATACTAACTGTTGTAATTCCAGGCTCATTCTGGTTCACGGGAAGCGCTCAATTAAAAACACGAATTCATATCATCCTGAAAGTCTGGCCTTGCCCACAGGAAGCTTCGTTGACTCACTGGAAACTCACCTAATTGCATCAATGAGACATGACTGCACCATTCACATCTCGCACTAGTTGACTTAATTGAAATCAGCATAAAAATACCAGACCAATATGCTAGCTTACAAACATCCTCATCTATACACACCTACCATCTTACCCCTCCCAGTTGTTGCGTACACGAATGCCACTTCTATTTCAGCTACATATACGCATCTACCAACAACCCTACACCTCGTTTCGCCAAATTCAAATACAACCAGTCTAATCACCACCTACAAGTCTGAACACACACCTACCAATTACAAAGTAAAAGGTTTATAACTTCGATGACCAGATATAGCTTATAATAAATTCACTTCCATACATACGATTGCCCAACTGATCGACCATCCGTTCCTCGACACACTGTGGTCAACTGACTCCATGAAACATAGGCACTTCCAACAATTAAGTAAACGCTGATTGCATTTCACCAACCTACATATCCCAATGTAGAATACTATGTGAAACACGTGCATTGTTATCCCTACTTATTTTACAACTCGTCTGTTGTTGGGCAAGGCAGTAAATAACTAACTAGTCATTAGAGACCGGTCACATTAATCAAATAAACACTTACCATCTCACAAGAAATCATCCCACTTAACTGGGTCGTTAGTCAACTTCTCGAGCAAATGCACCTACAGACCAAAAGCACAAGTCGCCTGCCTTCAACAACACTCGACCTGGCAGTTGCCGATAAGCACTTCCAAGTGTGTTGTGATGCATATCGGTCATCAAGGTACAGATACATACACGACGAATAACACCTGCCATCCAAACATATAATCACTTAAGAGTCATCGTTAGCCAAAACTTAAAGACTACTGCACACTGCCGCGCAATAGCCGCCAAAGGTCTTAGAACGTTATGGTCAATACGTAGGGCTTTTAGTCATGTCGACGCTAAGACGTTTTTGACTTTGTAAAAGTGTTCGTACGTCCTAAACTTCAGTACTCCATACAAGCGGCCAGCCCCTGCTTAAAAAAACAGTGAGCTTCTGGAAAAGGTCCAGAGAACGGCGATTAAGCTGATTCCCGGAATACCGAAGCTTCCGTACCAAGCCCGATTGGCCAAGCTGAACCTAGTCACACAAACTACTCACTCGGTCTTCTTGACGCGCACGCAACAACGCCGGTCTAATAAACTAGGAACAGACGACGTGCCACCTAAATCGCGACCAATAGTCCTGAGCTACAAACGCCACGTCGCATACATACGGATTCGCAACACTCAACTTAACAAGCGGGACGAGATAGAGAGCGATCACTATCCTACACTGAGCAACCAGACACTAGACAACGATATTCACTATTCGCCAGTAACGAAACCCTGACCCTGTATCAAACAACCAACAACTAATAAAAATCAAAAGTCAAAATTCATTACAGATAAAACCTAAATTCATTCAAGTAACAAATAATTAATCACAACAATTACAGGTTAGTCGACCTCCTCAATCGTTGGTCCCTTACCACTTCCACCACCAGCACCACCTGTTTCATGCATGCCTCCTGGCATACCACCAGCCTGGTACACCTTCGTAATTATCGGCGCACAGACCTTCTCCAACTCCTCCCGCTTACTCTCATACTCATGCTTCTCCGCCATTTGATTAACGTCCAACCAACCAATTGTATCCTCACACTTACTTAATATCACTTGACGATCACTTTCAGATATCTTTTCTTTAAGCTCACCCTCCACTTGCTGTTTCATTGTGTACACATAACTCTCAAGCGAGTTCTTCGCAGAAACACGATCTCTCTGCTTCTCATCCTCAGCCTTGTACTTGTCCGCATCGGCTACCATTCGTTCAATCTCCTCCTTCGTCAAACGGCCCTTGTCATTTGTAATCGTTATCTTGTTCTGCTTCCCTGTACCCTTGTCAACAGCAGATACGTTCAGAATACCGTTCGCGTCTATATCAAACGTCACCTCAATCTGGGGAGTACCACGAGGAGCAGGTGGGATACCTGAGAGTTCGAACTTGCCAAGCAGATTGTTATCCTTCGTCAGAGCACGCTCACCCTCGAACACCTGGATAAGCACACCAGGCTGGTTGTCCGAGTACGTCGTGAACGTTTGAGTCTGTTTCGTCGGGATTGTTGTATTACGCTTAATCAGAGCCGTCATTACACCACCAGCCGTTTCAAGACCCAGTGATAATGGAGCCACGTCAAGCAACAGCAAGTCTTGCACAGCCTCACACTTGTCACCACTTAGAATAGCTGCCTGCACAGCTGCACCATAAGCCACAGCTTCATCCGGATTAATAGATTTGTTCAACTCCTTCCCGTTGAAGAAGTCCTGCAACAGCTTCTGTACCTTAGGGATACGAGTGGAACCACCAACCAACACTATTTCGTGAATCTGGGCCTTATCCATCTTAGCATCTCGCAAAGCCTTCTCAACAGGACCCAATGTACCACGGAATAGATCGGCATTCAACTCCTCAAATCGTGCACGAGTAATCGACGTGTAAAAATCAATACCATCACACAACGAGTCAATCTCCAGATTCGTTTGGGTGCTCGAACTCAATGTACGTTTCGCACGTTCACATGCTGTTCTCAGGCGACGCAATGCACGCTTATTGTCACGAATGTCTTTACCAAATTTCTTCTGGAACTCTTTCACAAAGTGATCCACCAGACGATTGTCAAAATCTTCACCTCCCAAGTGTGTATCACCAGCAGTAGACTTCACCTCGAATATACCATCCTCAATTGTCAAGATGGACACATCAAATGTACCACCACCCAAATCAAATATCAACACATTACGCTCACCACCAACCTTCTTGTCTAAACCATAGGCAATTGCCGCAGCCGTCGGCTCATTAATGATTCTCAACACATTAAGACCAGCTATAGCACCTGCATCTTTCGTTGCTTGACGTTGACTGTCATTGAAGTAAGCAGGAACTGTTATAACCGCGTCACTCACTGTCCTGCCCAAATAACTTTCAGCAACCTCCTTCATTTTCGTCAACACCATCGACGAAATCTCCTCCGCGGAGAACAACTTTTTCTCACCCTTATACTCAACACGAATCTTCAGCTTACCACCGACTTGAACCACCTCAAATGGCCAATGCTTCATATCACTCTGAACTGATGGATCATCAAAACGACGACCGATTAGCCGCTTCGCATCAAACACTGTATTTGTTGGATTAATAGCCACTTGGTTCTTTGCTCCATCACCAATTAAACGCTCAGCATCTGTGAACGCCACATAACTCGGTGTCGTTCTGTTACCCTGATCATTGGCAATTATCTCCACTTTGCCATGCTGGAAAACACCAACACACGAATATGTTGTACCAAGATCGATCCCAATGGCGTTAGGCATTTCGAGATAACGTTAAAACGAATAAACACAGACAATCGAATCACTCAATTAATACCACTGCAAACTGTACGCCTGCTTAAATACTATACACGTAGAACATACTAGAAGTTTCGATGACCTTCGATAGAAAACAATCGACCAATGACCTGTCGACAAGTATTCACTATTGGCCAATCACACTCAACCACCAGACTACTGACCAAATACTCACAAACTAGATGCTTTCCTAGTCAAAATTTGACTCATAGCCTCCCTAAGTACATTGCAATGCATGGTGCATAATACAAACGCAATTGTCTGGCCAGTGTGGACAAATGGACAAAATCTAAGACGTGCACCCATCCCATTCAACCATTCACAACCTCAAACACAAAAAAACATTCCAATACCGAGTTTGACTACTGACACAATTATAAGTAGTTGAACTAACACGTGTGATATTTAGGGGTCGGGTATAGTTCAGTTCATACTGGTTAGTCACCGAGCTGTAACTATGCCTGGCTGTACATCATTATGTCATGTTTGCCTACTTCTTAATGCTGATCCAATTCCATCTGAACAGTTGCAATGTGGCTACTTGTTCGAGTGTTCGATAGAATTCGATCATCATTCAGAATTAGACAAACATGGGATCGGTTACCACTCTGTGATGAACCAGTGTAAATGTTTCAGTCCTACAAGAGGTCGGTCACATGACCGTTGTGGTTGACTGAATTATCGTTGATTGTTGAAGTGACTAGATAGACTATTGTAAGAAGTCAAAAGACTGATCGACAGATGAAGAATTGTTTCATAACCATACCTCGTGCTGAGAATCCTATGTTGTACCAAAATATAATATTGAATAATAACGACAATAATAGTAATAATAATAATAATTATTATTATTATTACTATTATTAAGAACTGGATTAACACAACATGTCAATACATTTATTTTCAGGTCGACTCACTTTATGATAATCAACAGATAGAATTCCAATAAACCACAACTCAGTCTCCTCACAACTAATTAGTCAATAGAATGTCAGGAGGAGAAACTCTACTGGCATCGTAAGGATAAAGATGTTGCAATGAACAAAAGTAATCGGTGTGATAAATCATATGCTTGAATCAAACATAACAGTCGGTAGAAGCCCGAATTGCTCCATGCTAGCACCTCTGACTATGACACTGATTGACGTGGGTTCGAAGTCCACACAGGACGTCCATTTCTCCCAAGATTCCAGGCACACCTTAATGACGAGTGCCAGCGAGCACGAAACCTGGGTCTACAGCTTCTTGTCGATTACCTCCGACCAACTAACATGGTACAATTCGGTCACTAACATCAGATAAAATCACGATGAAAACCCACTCCAATATAAATATCTTATCCCATGCAACAAGTCAAGGAAAACAACGAAAATGAATGATACACTTTAGGAAATGTTATGAAAACTTTCAGGTTTAAACTATCATGACGTATATAAGTAGCTTGAGACAATGCTTAGGTCGTGCCACTCATTCATTGGCTAACTAGTTAGGACAGATAGTGAGGTTCAAAATTATTCTACAAAGGACACTCACAAGTTCAGTGATGTCAGGTTGTGCTCGCACTTTTTACTGATTCACACAATTTCCCAATTACTTAGTATACACCTTGATATGCTCACTCGCAATTCTAAAACTGAAGTCACATAATTCTCAGTTGTAAATCGTTGCTGAACTCCTAGGCTAGGCGCAACACGACTTAGAAAATCCTAGGTTCGAAAGCTGACGAAGTGCACACATTTAACTATCATGATGACTTTGAATAAAGCCAGAACTATAAGGCCTACAGGACACAGTCAACCAAATTCACCCTACCACTTCTTCTCATCCACTAATAATCCCGTACCCTAGTTACTTTTAACAATATATTTCAACTCCCACTCACTACTCTCTTTCTTTACACCACCACAACGAAATTAGCAATGTTTCCAAAACAATGTTTCACACCATTCTTTCTGAATTGATCAAACAATAATGGTTTGGTGGCTTATTTATTTATTTATTTGAACACATAATATTGGTACAACAGTGCGCTAAATATATATTCGCCACACAAAACATTGAGAATTTAAAGAGAAGGGAAAAAAAGGTAAGGAGCGTAAAAAATAGGAGAATAATAACGAAGAGATTGGTGTAAGGTAGTGTAATAACAATAACAGTAATAATAATAATAGTAATAATTGGGGAACGGAAAGGTACAATCAGAAGAAATCTTTCAGTCTAGGAAGATACAACTACTTTTTTACGAAGAAAGTAAAGCAAGGTTACAGCAGGATCGCCACTGACTTCTATTCTAAGCCATATCTGATAACGTCTCTAGCCACTGTGTTGCACCACGTCTCGGACCCCAACCAGGGAGTCGTGAAGGACCAACACAAGCCAACCCTTTGCAGCTTCCTTTCATACCACCACACCATGTCATACACTGACCACCTCTCCGCTTTTTCCAACCAGTCCCAGAGTCGGCAAATAATGCACGACGTGGAATTCTCTAATACTAACTGTTGTAATTCCAGGCTCATTCTGGTTCACGGGAAGCGCTCAATTAAAAACACGAATTCATATCATCCTGAAAGTCTGGCCTTGCCCACAGGAAGCTTCGTTGACTCACTGGAAACTCACCTAATTGCATCAATGAGACATGACTGCACCATTCACATCTCGCACTAGTTGACTTAATTGAAATCAGCATAAAAATACCAGACCAATATGCTAGCTTACAAACATCCTCATCTATACACACCTACCATCTTACCCCTCCCAGTTGTTGCGTACACGAATGCCACTTCTATTTCAGCTACATATACGCATCTACCAACAACCCTACACCTCGTTTCGCCAAATTCAAATACAACCAGTCTAATCACCACCTACAAGTCTGAACACACACCTACCAATTACAAAGTAAAAGGTTTATAACTTCGATGACCAGACATAGCTTATAATAAATTCACTTCCATACATACGATTGCCCAACTGATCGACCATCCGTTCCTCGACACACTGTGGTCAACTGACTCCATGAAACATAGGCACTTCCAACAATTAAGTAAACGCTGATTGCATTTCACCAACCTACATATCCCAATGTAGAATACTATGTGAAACACGTGCATTGTTATCCCTACTTATTTTACAACTCGTCTGTTGTTGGGCAAGGCAGTAAATAACTAACTAGTCATTAGAGACCGGTCACATTAATCAAATAAACACTTACCATCTCACAAGAAATCATCCCACTTAACTGGGTCGTTAGTCAACTTCTCGAGCAAATGCACCTACAGACCAAAAGCACAAGTCGCCTGCCTTCAACAACACTCGACCTGGCAGTTGCCGATAAGCACTTCCAAGTGTGTTGTGATGCATATCGGTCATCAAGGTACAGATACATACACGACGAATAACACCTGCCATCCAAACATATAATCACTTAAGAGTCATCGTTAGCCAAAACTTAAAGACTACTGCACACTGCCGCGCAATAGCCGCCAAAGGTCTTAGAACGTTATGGTCAATACGTAGGGCTTTTAGTCATGTCGACGCTAAGACGTTTTTGACTTTGTAAAAGTGTTCGTACGTCCTAAACTTCAGTACTCCATACAAGCGGCCAGCCCCTGCTTAAAAAAACAGTGAGCTTCTGGAAAAGGTCCAGAGAACGGCGATTAAGCTGATTCCCGGAATACCGAAGCTTCCGTACCAAGCCCGATTGGCCAAGCTGAACCTAGTCACACAAACTACTCACTCGGTCTTCTTGACGCGCACGCAACAACGCCGGTCTAATAAACTAGGAACAGACGACGTGCCACCTAAATCGCGACCAATAGTCCTGAGCTACAAACGCCACGTCGCATACATACGGATTCGCAACACTCAACTTAACAAGCGGGACGAGATAGAGAGCGATCACTATCCTACACTGAGCAACCAGACACTAGACAACGATATTCACTATTCGCCAGTAACGAAACCCTGACCCTGTATCAAACAACCAACAACTAATAAAAATCAAAAGTCAAAATTCATTACAGATAAAACCTAAATTCATTCAAGTAACAAATAATTAATCACAACAATTACAGGTTAGTCGACCTCCTCAATCGTTGGTCCCTTACCACTTCCACCACCAGCACCACCTGTTTCATGCATGCCTCCTGGCATACCACCAGCCTGGTACACCTTCGTAATTATCGGCGCACAGACCTTCTCCAACTCCTCCCGCTTACTCTCATACTCATGCTTCTCCGCCATTTGATTAACGTCCAACCAACCAATTGTATCCTCACACTTACTTAATATCACTTGACGATCACTTTCAGATATCTTTTCTTTAAGCTCACCCTCCACTTGCTGTTTCATTGTGTACACATAACTCTCAAGCGAGTTCTTCGCAGAAACACGATCTCTCTGCTTCTCATCCTCAGCCTTGTACTTGTCCGCATCGGCTACCATTCGTTCAATCTCCTCCTTCGTCAAACGGCCCTTGTCATTTGTAATCGTTATCTTGTTCTGCTTCCCTGTACCCTTGTCAACAGCAGATACGTTCAGAATACCGTTCGCGTCTATATCAAACGTCACCTCAATCTGGGGAGTACCACGAGGAGCAGGTGGGATACCTGAGAGTTCGAACTTGCCAAGCAGATTGTTATCCTTCGTCAGAGCACGCTCACCCTCGAACACCTGGATAAGCACACCAGGCTGGTTGTCCGAGTACGTCGTGAACGTTTGAGTCTGTTTCGTCGGGATTGTTGTATTACGCTTAATCAGAGCCGTCATTACACCACCAGCCGTTTCAAGACCCAGTGACAATGGAGCCACGTCAAGCAACAGCAAGTCTTGCACAGCCTCACACTTGTCACCACTTAGAATAGCTGCCTGCACAGCTGCACCATAAGCCACAGCTTCATCCGGATTAATAGATTTGTTCAACTCCTTCCCGTTGAAGAAGTCCTGCAACAGCTTCTGTACCTTAGGGATACGAGTGGAACCACCAACCAACACTATTTCGTGAATCTGGGCCTTATCCATCTTAGCATCTCGCAAAGCCTTCTCAACAGGACCCAATGTACCACGGAATAGATCGGCATTCAACTCCTCAAATCGTGCACGAGTAATCGACGTGTAAAAATCAATACCATCACACAACGAGTCAATCTCCAGATTCGTTTGGGTGCTCGAACTCAATGTACGTTTCGCACGTTCACATGCTGTTCTCAGGCGACGCAATGCACGCTTATTGTCACGAATGTCTTTACCAAATTTCTTCTGGAACTCTTTCACAAAGTGATCCACCAGACGATTGTCAAAATCTTCACCTCCCAAGTGTGTATCACCAGCAGTAGACTTCACCTCGAATATACCATCCTCAATTGTCAAGATGGACACATCAAATGTACCACCACCCAAATCAAATATCAACACATTACGCTCACCACCAACCTTCTTGTCTAAACCATAGGCAATTGCCGCAGCCGTCGGCTCATTAATGATTCTCAACACATTAAGACCAGCTATAGCACCTGCATCTTTCGTTGCTTGACGTTGACTGTCATTGAAGTAAGCAGGAACTGTTATAACCGCGTCACTCACTGTCCTGCCCAAATAACTTTCAGCAACCTCCTTCATTTTCGTCAACACCATCGACGAAATCTCCTCCGCGGAGAACAACTTTTTCTCACCCTTATACTCAACACGAATCTTCAGCTTACCACCGACTTGAACCACCTCAAATGGCCAATGCTTCATATCACTCTGAACTGATGGATCATCAAAACGACGACCGATTAGCCGCTTCGCATCAAACACTGTATTTGTTGGATTAATAGCCACTTGGTTCTTTGCTCCATCACCAATTAAACGCTCAGCATCTGTGAACGCCACATAACTCGGTGTCGTTCTGTTACCCTGATCATTGGCAATTATCTCCACTTTGCCATGCTGGAAAACACCAACACACGAATATGTTGTACCAAGATCGATCCCAATGGCGTTAGGCATTTCGAGATAACGTTAAAACGAATAAACACAGACAATCGAATCACTCAATTAATACCACTGCAAACTGTACGCCTGCTTAAATACTATACACGTAGAACATACTAGAAGTTTCGATGACCTTCGATAGAAAACAATCGACCAATGACCTGTCGACAAGTATTCACTATTGGCCAATCACACTCAACCACCAGACTACTGACCAAATACTCACAAACTAGATGCTTTCCTAGTCAAAATTTGACTCATAGCCTCCCTAAGTACATTGCAATGCATGGTGCATAATACAAACGCAATTGTCTGGCCAGTGTGGACAAATGGACAAAATCTAAGACGTGCACCCATCCCATTCAACCATTCACAACCTCAAACACAAAAAAACATTCCAATACCGAGTTTGACTACTGACACAATTATAAGTAGTTGAACTAACACGTGTGATATTTAGGGGTCGGGTATAGTTCAGTTCATACTGGTTAGTCACCGAGCTGTAACTATGCCTGGCTGTACATCATTATGTCATGTTTGCCTACTTCTTAATGCTGATCCAATTCCATCTGAACAGTTGCAATGTGGCTACTTGTTCAAGTGTTCGATAGAATTCGATCATCATTCAGAATTAGACAAACATGGGATCGGTTACCACTCTGTGATGAACCAGTGTAAATGTTTCAGTCCTACAAGAGGTCGGTCACATGACCGTTGTGGTTGACTGAATTATCGTTGATTGTTGAAGTGACTAGATAGACTATTGTAAGAAGTCAAAAGACTGATCGACAGATGAAGAATTGTTTCATAACCATACCTCGTGCTGAGAATCCTATGTTGTACCAAAATATAATATTGAATAATAACGACAATAATAGTAATAATAATAATTATTATTATTATTATTACTATTATTAAGAACTGGATTAACACAACATGTCAATACATTTATTTTCAGGTTGACTCACTTTATGATAATCAACAGATAGAATTCCAATAAACCACAACTCAGTCTCCTCACAACTAATTAGTCAATAGAATGTCAGGAGGAGAAACTCTACTGGCATCGTAAGGATAAAGATGTTGCAATGAACAAAAGTAATCGGTGTGATAAATCATATGCTTGAATCAGACATAACAGTCGGTAGAAGCCCGAATTGCTCCATGCTAGCACCTCTGACTATGACACTGATTGACGTGGGTTCGAAGTCCACACAGGACGTCCATTTCTCCCAAGATTCCAGGCACACCTTAATGACGAGTGCCAGCGAGCACGAAACCTGGGTCTACAGCTTCTTGTCGATTACCTCCGACCAACTAACATGGTACAATTCGGTCACTAACATCAGATAAAATCACGATGAAAACCCACTCCAATATAAATATTTTATCCCATGCAACAAGTCAAGGAAAACAACGAAAATGAATGATACACTTTAGGAAATGTTATGAAAACTTTCAGGTTTAAACTATCATGACGTATATAAGTAGCTTGAGACAATGCTTAGGTCGTGCCACTCATTCATTGGCTAACTAGTTAGGACAGATAGTGAGGTTCAAAATTATTCTACAAAGGACACTCACAAGTTCAGTGATGTCAGGTTGTGCTCGCACTTTTTACTGATTCACACAATTTCCCAATTACTTAGTATACACCTTGATATGCTCACTCGCAATTCTAAAACTGAAGTCACATAATTCTCAGTTGTAAATCGTTGCTGAACTCCTAGGCTAGGCGCAACACGACTTAGAAAATCCTAGGTTCGAAAGCTGACGAAGTGCACACATTTAACTATCATGATGACTTTGAATAAAGCCAGAACTATAAGGCCTACAGGACACAGTCAACCAAATTCACCCTACCACTTCTTCTCATCCACTAATAATCCCGTACCCTAGTTACTTTTATCAATATATTTCAACTCCCACTCACTACTCTCTTTCTTTACACCACCACAACGAAATTAGCAATGTTTCCAAAACAATGTTTCACACCATTCTTTCTGAATTGATCAAACAATAATGGTTTGGTGGCTTATTTATTTATTTATTTGAACACATAATATTGGTACAACAGTGCGCTAAATATATATTCGCCACACAAAACATTGAGAATTTAAAGAGAAGGGAAAAAAAGGTAAGGAGCGTAAAAAATAGGAGAATAATAACGAAGAGATTGGTGTAAGGTAGTGTAATAACAATAACAGTAATAATAATAATAGTAATAATTGGGGAACGGAAAGGTACAATCAGAAGAAATCTTTCAGTCTAGGAAGATACAACTACTTTTTTACGAAGAAAGTAAAGCAAGGTTACAGCAGGATCGCCACTGACTTCTATTCTAAGCCATATCTGATAACGTCTCTAGCCACTGTGTTGCACCACCTCTCGGACCCCAACCAGGGAGTCGTGAAGGACCAACACAAGCCAACCCTTTGCAGCTTCCTTTCATACCACCACACCATGTCATACACTGACCACCTCTCCGCTTTTTCCAACCAGTCCCAGAGTCGGCAAATAATGCACGACGTGGAATTCTCTAATACTAACTGTTGTAATTCCAGGCTCATTCTGGTTCACGGGAAGCGCTCAATTAAAAACACGAATTCATATCATCCTGAAAGTCTGGCCTTGCCCACAGGAAGCTTCGTTGACTCACTGGAAACTCACCTAATTGCATCAATGAGACATGACTGCACCATTCACATCTCGCACTAGTTGACTTAATTGAAATCAGCATAAAAATACCAGACCAATATGCTAGCTTACAAACATCCTCATCTATACACACCTACCATCTTACCCCTCCCAGTTGTTGCGTACACGAATGCCACTTCTATTTCAGCTACATATACGCATCTACCAACAACCCTACACCTCGTTTCGCCAAATTCAAATACAACCAGTCTAATCACCACCTACAAGTCTGAACACACACCTACCAATTACAAAGTAAAAGGTTTATAACTTCGATGACCAGACATAGCTTATAATAAATTCACTTCCATACATACGATTGCCCAACTGATCGACCATCCGTTCCTCGACACACTGTGGTCAACTGACTCCATGAAACATAGGCACTTCCAACAATTAAGTAAACGCTGATTGCATTTCACCAACCTACATATCCCAATGTAGAATACTATGTGAAACACGTGCATTGTTATCCCTACTTATTTTACAACTCGTCTGTTGTTGGGCAAGGCAGTAAATAACTAACTAGTCATTAGAGACCGGTCACATTAATCAAATAAACACTTACCATCTCACAAGAAATCATCCCACTTAACTGGGTCGTTAGTCAACTTCTCGAGCAAATGCACCTACAGACCAAAAGCACGAGTCGCCTGCCTTCAACAACACTCGACCTGGCAGTTGCCAATAAGCACTTCCAAGTGTGTTGTGATGCATATCGGTCATCAAGGTACAGATACATACACGACGAATAACACCTGCCATCCAAACATATAATCACTTAAGAGTCATCGTTAGCCAAAACTTAAAGACTACTGCACACTGCCGCGCAATAGCCGCCAAAGGTCTTAGAACGTTATGGTCAATACGTAGGGCTTTTAGTCATGTCGACGCTAAGACGTTTTTGACTTTGTAAAAGTGTTCGTACGTCCTAAACTTCAGTACTCCATACAAGCGGCCAGCCCCTGCTTAAAAAAACAGTGAGCTTCTGGAAAAGGTCCAGAGAACGGCGATTAAGCTGATTCCCGGAATACCGAAGCTTCCGTATGAAGCCCGATTGGCCAAGCTGAACCTAGTCACACAAACTACTCACTCGGTCTTCTTGACGCGCACGCAACAACGCCGGTCTAATAAACTAGGAACAGACGACGTGCCACCTAAATCGCAACCAATAGTCCTGAGCTACAAACGCCACGTCGCACACATACGGATTCGCAACACTCAACTTAACAAGCGGGACGAGATAGAGAGCGATCACTATCCTACACTGAGCAACCAGACACTAGACAACGATATTCACTATTCGCCAGTAACGAAACCCTGGCCCTGTATCAAACAACCAACAACTAATAAAAATCAAAAGTCAAAATTCATTACAGATAAAACCTAAATTCATTCAAGTAACAAATAATTAATCACAACAATTACAGGTTAGTCGACCTCCTCAATCGTTGGTCCCTTACCACTTCCACCACCAGCACCACCTGTTTCATGCATGCCTCCTGGCATACCACCAGCCTGGTACACCTTCGTAATTATCGGCGCACAGACCTTCTCCAACTCCTCCCGCTTACTCTCATACTCATGCTTCTCCGCCATTTGATTAACGTCCAACCAACCAATTGTATCCTCACACTTACTTAATATCACTTGACGATCACTTTCAGATATCTTTTCTTTAAGCTCACCCTCCACTTGCTGTTTCATTGTGTACACATAACTCTCAAGCGAGTTCTTCGCAGAAACACGATCTCTCTGCTTCTCATCCTCAGCCTTGTACTTGTCCGCATCGGCTACCATTCGTTCAATCTCCTCCTTCGTCAAACGGCCCTTGTCATTTGTAATCGTTATCTTGTTCTGCTTCCCTGTACCCTTGTCAACAGCAGATACGTTCAGAATACCGTTCGCGTCTATATCAAACGTCACCTCAATCTGGGGAGTACCACGAGGAGCAGGTGGGATACCTGAGAGTTCGAACTTGCCAAGCAGATTGTTGTCCTTCGTCAGAGCACGCTCACCCTCGAACACCTGGATAAGCACACCAGGCTGGTTGTCCGAGTACGTCGTGAACGTTTGAGTCTGCTTCGTCGGGATTGTCGTATTACGCTTAATCAGAGCCGTCATTACACCACCAGCCGTTTCAAGACCCAGTGACAATGGAGCCACGTCAAGCAACAGCAAGTCTTGCACAGCCTCACACTTGTCACCACTTAGAATAGCTGCCTGCACAGCTGCACCATAAGCCACAGCTTCATCCGGATTAATAGATTTGTTCAACTCCTTCCCGTTGAAGAAGTCCTGCAACAGCTTCTGTACCTTAGGGATACGAGTGGAACCACCAACCAACACTATTTCGTGAATTTGGGCCTTATCCATCTTAGCATCTCGCAAAGCCTTCT